AACGTAATAATTAATTTGATATAATTATTAAACGTAATTTTTCAAATTAATATCCTTAGTAATGGCATAAGCAGACATAACAACAGACATTTGTCCAGCTGGAAGTGAAATACCCCCAACGTAGGAATTATATAGCGAACCCTGGCACGAGCAATAATGTGAAAAATCGTAAGGCAAGGGGTTAATGCTACGATAGAATAGAAGCGTTTCTGTGGCTGACGTCGGGGAGGAGCAATTATTTAGACGAGCTCCATGCTGCCTTCACGACTATCGATCGCCTTCGAGACAAGGTTAAAAATATCTATTTGCATGTCGAGATGCATTATGGCAGATTAGGCCACGGGCTCGCTGCCTCCCGTGACTTTTTTCTCGCATTTTTTTTTAAGGTCGATGATCATCCAAATGTACTTTATCGACGTCCTATGGATTTCTGATTCAATTTAATGGCTCTATTTTTGCATGCATAGATGCTTAAGTAGATAGTAAAAGTGGAAGGAATAATTCCTATTTTGCGTGATTATTTGGTAATTCAGAGAATTTTTTTTTCTTGTAAAAATTCGTAAAAAAATTTTGTAAAAGCTGGTGATAGGTTTTTGTGTTTGATATTAAGAATGGAAGATTTTAGATGTTGAAAGAAAAGATTGAGTACTTACTTTGGAATATCGCCGATCTTTGGTGGCCGACATTTTCGCGGAGCAACATCGCCCCATATGTTGTACGCTGTAAACCGAAAGAAAAGGAGTTTCGTTCAATTATTGTACAACAATTACGAAATTAATGTATCGTCAAATAAATTTTTTTTAAATTCTCTACTTTAATTTTATCCAAATTTTAATGTTCGAAATTCGTTTCTTAAAGCAACCTAGAACACAATCACTCGTTAAATATGAATTTGTATTCTTTGTCAACTTTATAATGGTTCTAAATTTTTAAACTTATTTTCCATTCCAAATTTTTTAATTAACAATTCAAGATGATGTTAAAATAGTCTTTTCTTTGTTACGGGTTACGCTTGTCGTGTCCTCACACGGAGCGTAATATTGGTTTGGGTTGGTGGACCGGTCGGAACGTTCACCGTGACTGGATGATACGTCGTACTCCAACAAGTCCGGTAGGATTGGAACCTTCGACGCATGTGGTTACTACGTCGTTCTCCGAAGGATGGAAAGGTTGGGTGGTTCTGACGACAGTGCGTACCGTAATGGCGGATATACAGTATATTCTCCAAAAGTGTCAGACCGCAAGGAAGCTAAACCAGCCACTCACAGAGTTAGGGACTACGTTTTCAAGCCTCGCGCGCGCCATTGTAGTTTGCCGAACATAGGCAAGGACAGCGAATAAAAGATAAGCATGAAACGTGAGTCGAGACAACCAAGCGATTTAAATACAAACTTTTTTAATTTTACGTTTTTCTATCCCGAAATTTTTCTTAACATATTGATGAGATTTTTCTGATGAAAATGACATCAAACACGACATAATTTGAACAACATTTACTTATTAACACGTTCACTGTCACGCCAGATATTTCACTGTATTGAGATAAAACAGACGCCCTGTATTACATTACATAGAGTCGGCCTACCGTTTGACTGCCAGGTGGAGAATTGGCCTGCCGCTTGACTGACACTTGTAGAATCGGCCCTACATTTGACCGACACTTGTAGAATCGGCCCTACATTTTTTTTTTCTTTTTTTAAATTAATTAATGTTGTTCAAATTATATCGTGTTTGATCTCATTTTCATCAGAAAAATCTCACCAACATGTTAAAAAAAATTTCAGATGAAAAAAAGGAA